AGCCGTAACACTTATAAGTGTTACCATATTTTTCGGAGTATAAGAAGCACCTTCCCCGCCCCCTAAAAGGGGGTGAAAATTTAGGTACGTCTTATACACCAAATGTAGCCCTGCCCACCCGCCGGCCCCCACCCTTTGGCCTCTGCCTCCCAGCAGTTTACCTCCTTGCAGCAAGCAGCAAGAAGAAACAGCCCATTTCAGCTTCAACACAGCCTAATTAGCACAAGTTGATTGTCCGTTGGATCGGCCTCCCGACCCTCAGCTGTTTCAGGCTGCAGGGATTGCCATGGCCTATTGCTGCGCGGGCCTCTGCTGCTTGCTGCAAGGAGGTAAATTGCTGGGAGCAGATTTTTTTTCTTGTGCTAATCAAGCTATGCTGAAAACGAAAATGAAAGTAAAGCAGGCTGTTTGCTGCAAAGAGGCAAAATTGCTGGGAGGCGGATTTCTTTTTCTTGTTTTCCTCACCCAAAAAGGTAGGTGCGTCTTATAGTCCAGAGTGTCTTATACTCCGAAAAATATGGTACTTACAAAATGGATAAAGATACCATAATCTAGGGGTGTCAAACTGAACGGATCTGGCCCACGGGGTGCTTAGATCTGGCCTGTGGACTTGCCATGGAAACAGCAAAGGACCGGCCCAAGGTGCCTCTGCTAGCGAAAACGGAGCTCGGGCTCCATTTTTTGGCCATGACGGCTTCCTGCAACCCTCTGTCAGCAAAAACGGAGCTCGGGGAAGTTGTGCACAACCCGCTTCATTTTTACTGGCAGAGGGTTCCAGGAGGCCGTCATGGCCAAAATTGGAGCGTTGATGACGTCAAGCTGGCCATGCCCCCTAGCCATGCCCCTCCCACCCCGACGTCAAACACAACCCTGATGCGGCCCTCAATGAAATCGAGTCTGACACCCCTACCATAGTCTGACTAGGTGGCTCAGTGGCCAAGACACTGAGCTTGTCGATCAGAAAGGTCGGCAGTTCAGCGGTTCGAATCCCTAGTACAGGTCTCCTGCGTGAGCAGGGGGTTGGACTAGATGACCTCCAAGGGCCCTTCCAACTCTGTTACTGTTAGTCACTTTTAAAGCTTACTTTTATCCTCCTTTTTAAAATACAACTCAAGGCAGCGAATATACAACTATTCCATCCTCCTCCTATTTTCCCCAAATCAACACTGTGAGGTTGTGCTGGGAGAGAATAGCTAGTCCAAAATCACCCAACCAGCTTTCGTGTCTAAGGTGCAACTAGAACTCACAGCCTCCTGGTTTCTAGCCCAGGACCTTCACCACTACACCAAGCTGACTCTCTCCTCCATCACCACCTCCTCCTCTTCCTCCTCCTCCTCCTCCTTCTCCTTCTTCTTCTCCTTCTTCTTCATCGTCTCAATCTTTTCAATCATCTTAATCTTTTCCTTCGATACTGTTCAATTTTTTTTAACCTTACCTATTTTGCTACTTTATTTTTTTCTAGTCCATGATTATAATTTTTTTTAAAAAAATCTATTTATGGAAACACCTCTTATATCTCCTTGGCTTGCTATGGAAAGCTTGCGGAGAGAATCTGTTTGCAGGATTTTCAGACAGGTAAAAATATCCCTCTCGGTGTCTTTCCCCTTTTCAAATTGGTGCTAAAAGATAAATTCATTTGAACTCGACTGCTGGCAACTTCACGGCTGCATCCTCTCAGGCGTTCTTGACAGCAGCATAGAAGAGAATTGGCATCTGTTTTTTATTTCAGTCCCTTGTTAGAGACTAGTTCTAATCTCTCTCCTGCCATCGTTTAGAATGTATTTTTGGTCAGGGCAATTGTGTAGCCCGTTGTGGGCGCCTTCTAGGGATAAGGGACCTGCATTGCATGAGGCTTTTTGTTTAGCCTTCCTGGGTTCAGAGCAGTTTTCTTCTTCCCCGGTGCGCATTGTATGTGTGTGTGAGAGTGAAAATTAACAGCTCTGTAAAACGAATGGGTGTTTTTTTTCCTGTAATAATTGCTTTTAGGCCATGGTTGTTTTCTCCAACCTATCATGCTCCGGATGTGTTGGACTTCAGCCCCATCTAGAGCATTGGGAAAGCTGACCAAGCACATTGTAAAAGATTAATAGACCATTAGAACAATTAATCAGTGGAACAACTTGCCTCCAGAAGCTGTGAGTGCTCCAACACTGGAAGTTTTTAAGAAGAGGTTGGATAACCATTTGTCTGAAGTGGTGTAGGATTTCCTGCCTAAGCAGGGGGTTGGACTAGAAGACCTCCAAGGTCCCATCCGACTCTGTTATTCTATTCTATTCTATTCTATTCTATTCTATTCTATTCTATTCTATTCTATTCTATTCTATTCTGCTTTCATTTCCAAGGTCCCTTCCAACTCTGTTATTCTATTCTATTCTATATATGTATCAAGCTTTAATCTTAGTTGCTGGAGATAGACGCTGGTCTTCATCCTCATCGTTTAGCTCTCTGTCAACGTGGACGGAGGATTATAGGATTTAGAATTGGGCACATCTAGAGAAGTCTGGATTAAGAAAGGCTATTTTTTGTAGAAGGATGAAGGTCAGGTTAAGGACTGGTCAGAAACGCAAAGCGTTTCCCAATCGAGACCACCAAAAGTGAGACAATTTGGTGGTGTAAGTGGTTAAGGCCCCAGGTTAGTAATTGGGAGACTGTGAGTTCAAATCCTGCCTTAGCTACGAAACCCGGCTGGGTGACCTTGGGCCAGTCAGGCACATTTGCAGCCCTTGAGTTAAGACTAAGTCATGGTGTATGTGCGGTCCATGTAAAATCATCTTGGTGGTGTCTACTCCAAAATAAATTTCAGTGGTTTAAAGATTTGTTCACAAATGACTGCTTTATAGGGCAGCGAGCCCAACCAATTTACATCCATGATCTGGGTCTTTACAACATGCTGAGCCTTCAACGAAACATCAGGATAGTTTTTTACATAGCATACAGGCAAATCAGTGGCTTAAGAGAATGCTCTGATTCCCACAGTTTGCTGAGATCTTGGCTGGCTTCCCATACCACAACCGACTATTCCCACTGTAATCTTCCCCAAAGTATTGTGTGAACCCAGTTGTATTGTGCCATAATATCAAAGGAGTTTTTACATCGGCACGGTCAAGCTTTATATTTTCCTGCCAAGGGTTGCATTGCTTAAAGGGTGTGGTGTTGTCACCTGCAGGCTGAGAGCTGACAGATGAAGCAGAGCCAAAATCATGTCTTGTTAGCACCATTTCTTTTCTTTAATTTACTTTTAACGCTTCTTCTCTCTCCCTTCCAAGCAGAAGGTCCCCAGGGGAAGCTTTCCCTAGGAATCTGATCTGTTGCAAAAAAAAAAAAAAAAGTTTTGAAATTAGTTCAAAAACTGTTTCATGTTAAGGCAAGAGTGATACGTATCCAGATTTAGCAGGATATGCTAATAGCCATCAACAGCCACATAGAGGTAAACAACATCTACATACCACTCAAAAGAGACAACCAAAAATCCCAACAGGAAACAAAAGTCCAAAATAGGTATCTTCAGCAGCAATCAGTGCCCATATTTATTTATTTATTTATTTATTTTTAAATTTGTATACCGCCCTTCTCCCTGAGGACTCAGGGCGGTGAACAGCCAAGTAAAAACATAAACTACAAACCTTAAAATACAATTAAAAAGATATATATGAATTTGGCCCCATGATTAAAAACAATAACAGACAATTAAAAACATTTTAAAAAGTGTTAGGCCAGCCCAGCTTGCTGGAAAAAGAAGGTTTTAAGGGCACGGCGGAAGGCACCGAGGTCTTGGATTCTCCTTATCTCTGGGGGCAGCTGATTCCAGAGGATAGGTGCCCCCACAGAGAAGGCCCTCCCCCTGGGGGTCACCAGCCTACATTGTTTGGCTGATGGCACCCCGAGGAGGCCCTCTCTGTGGGAGCGCACGGGTCGGTGGGAGGCCGTCGGTAGCAGCAGGCGGTCTCGAAGGTAACTAGGTCCTATGCCATGGAGCACTTTAAAGGTGATAACCAACACCTTGAAGCGCACCTGGAAGACCACTGGGAGCCAGTGCAGCTCACGCAGGAGAGGTGTTGTATGGGAGCGCCATGCGGCTCCCGTGACTACCCGCACGGCCGCATTCTGGACCAGTTGTAGCCTCTGGGTGCTATTCAAGGGGAGCCCCATGTAGAGAGCGTTGCAGTAGTCCAGGCGAGAGGTGACGAGGGCATGAGTGACTGTGCACAGGGAATCCCGATCAAGAAAGGGCCGCAACTGGCGAATCAGGCGAACCTGACAGAAGGTCCCCCTGGCTACAGCTGTCAGATGTTCTTCCAAGGACAGCTGCATATCCAGGAAGACTCCCAGATTGCACGTCCTCTCCGCGGGGGCCAAAGACTCACCCCCAATAATCAGTGATGGAGTCAACTGACTATATCGGGATGCCAGGAACCACAGCCACTCAGTCTTGGAAGGGTTGAGCTTGAGCCTGTTCCTCCCCATCCAGATCCGCACAGCCTCCAGGCACTGGGACATCACTTCAAAGGCATCGTTGGGGTGGCCTGGGGTGGAGATGTACAGCTGGGTGTCATCAGCGTACTGATGGTACTTCACCCCAAAGCCACGGATGATCTCACCCAGCGGCTTCACATAAATGTTGAACAGAAGGGGCGAGAGGACCGACCCCTGAGGCACTCCACATATAAGAGGCCTCGAGGTCGACCTCTGCCCCCCTGCCAACACGAACTGCGACTGGTCTGAGAGAAAGGAGGAGAACCACCATAACACGGTGCCCCCCATCCCCAACTCTTCCAACCGGTGCAGCATGGACAGGAAGTGATGTTTTTTGCTGTCCCCAACCTCCAGAGCCTCACTACCTGTGCTAAAGGAACAAGTGTTGCACGCATTTATTTCCACACAAATTGAGTTATTGAGGCTATTTCTGGCTAGTGAGAAAATGCCAGATACAACAGTTCTGTCCTTCCCAAAAGTCGTTCCAAGTGGTCTTGATAATAACAAAAATTCTTTTGATTTTATAGAACTCCCTGAGAACTGGACGGACACGCGAGAGACCTTACTGGAGGGAATGCTCTTCAACCTGAAGTACCTGGGCATGACATTGGTTGAGCAGCCCAAAGGAGAAGAATTATCTGCAACTGCTGTCAAAAGGATTGTGGCAACGGTGAGGGATCAAGGTCCAGTTTCCATTCACGTCCTCGCTAACTCTCTTCTATTGTCCCTAAGCCAGTGTTTCTCAACCATGGCAACTTTAAGACCGGTGGACTTCAAGCATAGCTGGCTGGGGAATTCTGGGAGTTGAAGTCCACCGGTCTTAAAGTTGCCATGGTTGAGAAAACGCTTCCCTCAGAAAGCCAGGGCGGTGACCCATTGTTGTGAACAGGGCAATAAGAATAAAATACCGTTATTTCCACAGCTCTCCACATTTAACACTGGCTGGATGTGAGAGGTTGCCCCGAAAATATGGGTGGTGAGGGGATTTTCAGTCTGCTTAAGATCTATAATTTAAAACTAATTAACGTTTTTATCACTGGCTTTAAAACGCTTCCCCCCCTCTCCGTTGTTGTTTCTTTGCCCTTTATGGACTTCATAAATTTTTTACTGCCTGTTCCTGGATTACCCTGCCCATGCAGGAGGAATTTTTTTTCTAATTTATTCTGGTTAACCTGAGACACCCAGTAATGCCCATTTTGGCAAGCAATGCACACACACACAAAAAAAACTGTCTTTGTATGTACGTGTGCCCATACAGGTCGTCCTCGACTTACGACCACAATCGAGCCCAAAATTTCTTTTCCTAAGTGAGACAATTATTAAGTGAGTCTTGCCCCATTGTATGACCTTTCTTGCCACAGTTGTTAAGTGAATCACTGCAGTTGGTACATTTAGTAACCCGATTGTTAAGTGAGGCTGGCTCCCCAATTGACTTTGTCTGAATTTTGATCATGTGACCATGGGGATGGTCATGCAATGGTCATAAATGTGAAAACCGGTCATAAGTCCCTTTTTTCAGTGCCATTGTAACTTTGCACGGTCACTAAATGAACTGTTGTACTGTGTTTCCCCGAAAATAAGACCCTGTCTTATATTTTTTGAACCCCGAAATAAGCGCTTGGCCTTATTTTCGGGGAGGTCTTATTATTTTGGGGTGCATGGAGCAAGATGGGGCTCCTCTTGCTGTCTTACCTGATTTCCAGCTCTGTGTTTAAATATTTTCAGGGAGAGGCTTATTTTAGCGCATGCGCTCAAAAGCCCAATTGGTCTTATTATCAGGGGATGTCTTATTTTCGGGAAAGTCGGGGACTAAACTGTATTTGTGTTTCTACAGCTCATTCGTCATATAATCAAAATTCAAACGCTTGGATCATATTTATGACGGGTGCAGTGTCCCCTGCGTCATGAGATTCCCCTTTTGCAACCTTCTGACAAGCAAAGTCAGAAAATTTGGAACTGAAAAATGTGTCTTATGAGTGGGCCTTGCACTTATGATCATCGCAGCATCCCGGGATTCAGCCGGTTCGCATCGGTTCAGACGAACTGATTGTTAAATTACCACCACCACCCCACCAGTGGTGGATTTTAAAATTTTTTACTACCGGTTCTAAGGGTGTGGCTTAGTGGGCGTGGCATGGCTTGGTGGGCGTGGCTTGGTGGGCATGGCAGGGGAAGGATACTGTAAAGTCTCCATTCCCTCCCCAATTCAGGGGAAGGTTACTGCAAAATCCCCATTTTCTCCCAATCAGCTGGGACTCGGGAGGCAGAGAATAGATGGGGGCAGGGCCAGTTAGAATCTTTAGTACCGGTTCTCCGAACTACTCAAAATTTCCGCTACCGGTTCTCCAGAACTGGTCAGAACCTGCTGAAACCCACCTCTGCACCCCACTATCCAAGTGGATCCTGGGTGCTGCACTGCAGTGGAGAAATGGGAAATGGAGTGGCCAGCACGAGGGAAGGAGGAGGCCTCTTTCCCCCTTTCTTCTCCCTGCTCCTCCTTCCCTCGTGCCAGCCACTCCGTTGCCCGTTTCTCGATTGCAGCACAGCGCCCAGGATCCACTTTGATGGTGGGTGGGGTGGTAATTTAACAACCAGTTTGCCCAGGGTCAGATTGGCCATTGCAGGAGGCTCGTCCCACATGTGTGGCAGAGCTGGAGGACGGGGATGGACCACGCCTCCCACAACAGCCAACCTGACCCTGGGCAAACCGGTTGTTAAATTATTTGAATCTCTCCACTGATCCCCATGGCCACGTGATCAGAATTTGGGTGCTGGGCAACTGGTAGATATTTATGATGGTTGCAATGGCTCAAGGTCATTCCCAGCTGGCTTCTGACAGTCAATAGGGAAAGCCGGATTTGCTTAACAACCACATGGTTTCTTAACAACTGCAGTGATTCTCTTAACAACCATGGCAAAGAAGGTCGTAAAATGAGTGCGACTCATTTAACAATTCCCTTGCTTAGCAATGGAAATTCAGGTCCCAAACTGTAATCATAAATCAAGGACTATCTGTAAAGTATTGATTGCATACATATATAAGCACAGCACATATACATACGCCTCGATATATCCCCATTTAGCCACTCTGGTTGGAACAGACAAAATGTTTACATGTCATTCCCAATAATGAACAATTTCATGGGCTCTATCAGATTTAACTGACCTTTCTTAGCTATCAGCCGTCCCTTTTTCCAAACAATCCCTAAATTGAGCTTTTACTGTAATGCAAATTGTCATGCCAGTCACACTGTATTCACCTTGAGAAGAAAAGTATTTGTTAATTAAAAAAAAGTTCAGCGACATTTTTCATTTGTTCCGTTATTGTTTCAAAAAGTGAAGCTTAATCAATTTTTTACAGGGCATTTTATTATAGATTTAGAAATCCATTATAATCCATTCTAAATTTAAATAAATTTCTTCCTAGCAAAACAATGCTTTTTTTTTTTGGCATACTGCTATATAAGAATCAAAAGTGACTACGTTTGCTAGATGTTAAGGGCATTTTCAGGGTTTTTTTTTCTTTCACTGACTGTTAATTGCTGTATTACAACTAAAATCAGGTAGGAACAAATCAACTCCTACCTTTCTTGATTAATTGTTGGGAGACCTTTTAATTCACCAGAATTTCAGCTGTCAATTAAACCAATTAATGCTTGCAGTCCTGATTTTAACTCATGTTATCTACTTTCTTTATTGAGCTGGGGTTTTGTTTTAATGACTTACTGAATTGTTGCGTTCGGAAAAAGACACACTGTGATTGGAATAGTTTTGCTCCTTCTGCAACAATTATTTGCACATCCTATAGAGTAGGCCAGCACAACATAGGGAAGTAATGGCTAACCTTTTTGCCGTCGCATGCCAAAAGCGGGGGTCGCACGGGGGTGTGTGGCGTGCTTGCATGCCAACACCCATAATTCAATGCACCCTGCACATGCGACCCCACCCCCCGCACTCCAGGCCCGTTTCTCACCCTCCCCAGGCTCCAGAGACTTTCTAGGAGCCTGGGGAGGGCAAAAATGGCCTTCCCCAACTCCCCCAGAGGCCGGAAATGACCTGTTTCCTGACTTCTGGTGGGCCCAGAAGGCCTGAAAACCAGCTGGCCAGCGTGCGCATGTGCGCTGGAGCTGAGCTAGGGCAATGCTCACGTGCCCACTGATATGGCTCTGCATGCCATAGGTGGCACGCGTGCCATAGGTTCATCATCATGGACATAGGGCCTTGCGGATCATACCTAGCCTGCTTTTCTGACCCAATGGGACTTTTTAAAAAGTCACTAAATTTGCTGGCTCCTGAAAGATCCCCTGCCAAGCATCTCCAGTCCTTAACGCCTGCCAGCCTTGCGAGGTAGGCCAGACAAGAAGCACACCCAGGAATACTAGCTCCTGTCTTAGTATTGTAAGGATACATTAACAGAATCTTGCAAGGCTGGGTGTACATTTCTCCCCCCCCCTTCGCCTTTACAGTCCAAGAAATTAGAGAGGTCCCTTCTGAGACATAGCTGCACTCCCATTATCGGTAGTAGTCCTCGGCTTACGAGCACAGTGGAGGCCAAACATTTCTGTTGCTAAGCGAGACCAGTGTTAAGTGAGTTTTTGCCTCATTTTGCAACCTTTCTCGCCACCATTGTTGAGTGAATCACTGCAGTTGTTAAATTAGTAGTATGGTTGTTAAATGAATCCGGCTTCCCCGTTGACTTTGCTTGTCAGAAGGTCGCAAAAGGGGATCCCCCCTCCCCCCCAGATATTGCAATTGTCATAAATATGAGTCAGTGGCTAAGCGTCTGATTTTTGATCACGTGACTACAGGGATGCTGCAATGAAAAAGGTTCACAAGTCACTTTTTTCAGTGCCGTTGCAACTTTGAAGAGTCACTAAACCAGTGGTGGGTTCCTCCCGGTTCGGCCCGGTTCTCCTGAGCTGGTAGCGGTGACAATATGATGTCACCGAACCGGTTCTGCCCCCGCGCCCCCCACCCCCGTGTTATTCTTACCTTTTATTTGGCCCCACCCCCAATCTATTGCTGCCTCCTGAGTCCCAGCTGATGGCTAGAGGGAAAAAAACTGTTTAAACTCTTGCGGTGGGGCTTCAACGGGCCGCCCTACAGCTGATCAGAGTTAAAAGAAAACAAATGAGTAGACCAGTGCCTGCAAAAAATAAATGGGTAGATCGGTACAGCTCTGGAAGCAGTTAAAAGCCTGGTAGACCAGTACCTCTGCTAAATCCTAAAGAATTGTCACATGACCATCAAGCCATGCCCACAAAATAAGCCACGCCCACAGAACCGGTAGTAAAAAATTTTAGAACCCACCCCTGCACTAAATGAATTGCTGTAAGTCAAAGACTACCTGTATTCCTGTGGGCTCAGCTGCCTCTTTCCTATCTGTTTTCTAATCTGCAGCTCTTCCTCTCGTCTCCCAAGGTCACTCCTTCCTCCCATTACACCACCATTCTGTAGAAATGAAATACAGAGAAAACTAACCATAAGACTTACTAAGGAATAGGAAGCACTGAATGACCATGGAATACTAATCAGCTGTGTTTACCAAATTCACTTAACCTAGTTACTTTTCTGGGGTTGCGCAACACAGTATGATGTAATTGAATGGTCTGGATTACGTAACTCACTAAGCCACCCACAGGCCTAACTAGGATTAAAAAAAAACTAATCAAGCTTAGCATGTACTGGAAGTGCGTTTGTAGATTTTTGCTTGAGCTATTAAGGATGCAGAGTGAACACAACCACAAGAAAGTTAAAAGGGGACGCAAAGAAATGAGAGAGGAATGCAACAGAATGTCAGAATAACACCAGGTCTTCCATGCTGCAACGTTTTGTTAGATGTTCCACTTGTTAAGACTTAATTGTCATGTGCTTGAAAGTGAAGTTGAAGGACATGAGGTAGAAACATGGTTAAGCTGACTTTGTATAAATATACAAAAGAATGAAGGCTATTGCTTAGCGCATTGTAAGCCGCCCTGAGTCTCCGGAGAAGGGCGGCATATAAATCAAATTAAAAAAAAAAAAAAGTAGCTCTGAAAGCCCACCAGAATTCACTTCATAAAATAGAGCAGGGGTGTCAAACTCGATTTCATTGAGGGCTGCATTAGGATTGTGTTTGACCTTGGAGGGCCCGGGACCCCCAGGTGTGGTCATTATGGGTGTGGGCATGGCCAGGGTGGGTGTGACATGGGAATCGTGTCGGGGCAATTGTGCTGGCCAAGTGCTAATGCAGGACTTCCCTGAAACCCTCCCTCACTCTCATTTTAATCTCCTTCCTTCCTTCCTTCCTTCCTTCCTTCCTTCCTTCCTTCCTTCCTTCCTTTTCTTCTTTTTCCTTCCCTATTCATTCTCCTTTCTTCTTCCTTTCCCTCTTTCCTTCTTTTTCCTTCCTTGCTCTCTTCCCATCTTTCCTTCTTTTTCTTTGTCTTTCCTCTTTCCCTTTCTCCTTTCCTGTCCCTTCTTGCATGCTCAAATGAAAAAGGGGAAAGATTTCCCCTGTTGTTTTGTTTTTAGTTTGTTTTGATAGCCCTTTGCCAGCGTAAACGGAGCCCGGGGGGGGGACGCGTCTGTCCCACTGTGCCCTGTTTTCACTGGCAGAGGACTGCAGGAGGCCATCATGGCCAAAAGTGGGGTGTGGGGGGCTGCACAGCCCCCCCCCCAAAGCTCTGTTTTTGCTGGCAGAGGCACCATGGGCCGGTCCTTTGCTGTTTCCAGGCCAGCCCCTGGGCCTTGAGTTTGACACCCCTGATATAGAGTGTTATTCATAAAACATAAAACATCAAGGGGCGTGGTGGCACAGTGGCTAAGATGCTGAGCTTGTCGATCGAAAGGTCGGCAGTTCAGCGGTTCGAATCCCTAGTGCCGCGTAATGGGGTGAGCTCCCGTTACTTGTCCCAGCTTCTGCCAACCTAGCAGTCTGAAAGCTCATAAAAAATGCAAGTAGAAAAATAGGGACCACCTTTGGTGGGAAGGTAACAGCGTTCCGTGCGCCTTTGGCGTTGAGTCATGCCGGCCACATGACCACAGAGACGTCTTCGGAGAGCGCTGGCTCTTCGGCTTTGAAACGGAGATGAGCACCGCCCTCTAGAGTCAGGAGAACTAACACATATGTGCAAGCGGAAGTTTTACCTTTACCTTTACATAAAACAGTTGCAAATTTAGAGGATCAGACTTTAGCAAAATGTTGATAGATTATAGAAGGAGTTTAAAGCTTTCTTGAATAAAAGAAGCTTCATCTAACCTTGTTCTCTGTCAAATAAAGATGAAGGGTGTAAGTTTGGTCCTTCCTAATGCCCTTAGCCGTCAGGAGAATTTATAGGGAGGAAAGGTTTTCATGGGTTCTCAGAGTATTTCTTTAATGATGCAAGTAGTTTGCTTTGGTTTGGCAATATTTCTGTCTATAGGCGAAGAACCATAAAGGAAACTGCTTAGAAGTAACTCTAGGTGTTTTTCTTGGTTTGAGGGGCCTGACAGTAAGATTTTGAATTGATTTATCTTCGTAGCAACATCTAAATGCAGTTCTTTTCTCTGTTCCAAGGCAAAGGCCGGTGGGAAAAAACTCCGAAAAGTGACTCTGAAAGTATCACCCAGAGGGATCGTTCTCAGTGACAGCATAACAAATGAATCCATTGAAAATGTGTCAATATACAGGTAGGTCTCATCCATACCTTTCAAATCTTCAGAGCAAATACTTAAGCCCTCTCCTTCCCAGAAGAGCATTCGAAGGGTTAACGATTGAAATTGTAATTGATATTGATAAGGTACCCTTTTTTCTCTTTTCTCTTATTTACATTTAATACTCTAAGGCAGGGGTGTCAAACTCGCATCGTCACGGCGGCATCACATGACATATCGTGACTTCCCCCCTTCGCTAAACTGGGCGTGGGCGTGGCCAGCGCGTGACACATCAGACCCGCAGGCCGCGAGTTTGACAGCCCTGCTCTAAGGCAATCATATGATAGAATATTAGGTATCTATTATATACGTATCATTGCATCGAAATAACATTGTATTAAAACGGAGATGATGGAGCAATAAATGGTCAGTACGGATAGATTTAATCATATGTTAAAGAACTGAGCTAGTTTTATATTAACATTTTATGGATATACTTTATTCTCCCACAAGTGTCACTCAGTCATTCATTATTCTATTTTTGTTCTGATTTTATTAGCACAGCTATATTTTTGGAGATGCTTCATCATATCTTCTGGTTGATATACTTACCCATAGATGTTACCTCTGTGTGTGTATGTGTGTATGTGTGTGTATTATCTGTCATTATTTAGTGATACAGTCATTAAGTACCGTATTTTTCGGAGTATAAGACACACCTTTCCCCCCCCAAAAAGAGGGTGGAAATGTTGGTGTGTCTTATACACCAAATACAGCCATTTTTGGCCTCCCAAAACCCCAGTCCGCTGGTTCCATTTTTGCGAAAAACAGGTCCATTTTTTGCCCGTTTTTTTGCAAAAATAGGGGCGTTTTTGCCCTCCCCCAGCCCCCAGGAGCACTCTGCAGGCCTCCCAAATCCTCTGAGCACCCTGCTTTTCGCACAGTTTTGCACTCCTGGGGGAAGGATATTGCAAAATCTCCATTCCCACCCCACTCCTGGGGGAAGGATACTGCAAAATCCCCATTCCCACCCCACTCCTGGGGGAAGGATATTGCAAAATCCTCATTCCCACCCTACTCCTGGGAGAAGGATACTGCAAAATCCCCATTCCCTCCCCACTCCTGGGGGAAGGATACTGCAAAATCTCCATTCCCACTCTACTCCAGGGGAAGGATACTGCAAAATCTCCATTCCCACCCCACTCTGGAGCCAGCCAGAGGTGGCATTTGCCGGTTCTCCGAACTACTCAAAATTTCCGCTACCGGTTCTCCAGAACCTGTCAGAAACTGCTGAATTTCACCTCTGCTGTAAAGCTACATTAACAGAATCTTGCAAGCCTGAAAGGACAAGTCCTCCTGCTGTCGCCTTTATAGCCTGAGAACTTAGGGGAGGGTCTCTTCTGAGCCTCTTGCTCCGCCCAGTATGCAGCTGCAGGCAATGATGTCTCTTATCTGACTTATGTTCCCTAAGCAACATCTCTTTGCCCCGCCTCCCAGGGCCTTTCCCACGTCCCGTTAGGAAAAAAGGCACCTTCCAAACCCAATGATGAGAAAGCTTTTATACAGTACAAGATCAGAAGGGAACTAATATGCAACACCCCATCCCACCCACACCCCCAAAATTGAAAATCCCAACAAAGAAAAATTCTGAGACCAGTAGGCAGATGCAGAGGAACAATCTATGCACTTGTTTAAGAACAAGGAATTCTTCAAGGACTTCCTGAAAGCGATTAATGAGGCATGTAATCCTTGGAGGGAACCAGGGCAAAGCTCGGTCCTCTTCGAGAAATAACAGACCCCCTCATTACTGCCAATTTTTGACAGAACACCGAATGCATTTCTGTGGCAAATCCCATGTGTTTAATGGACCACTCTGGGGCAGAGTAGTCCTTCCTGCTGTTGTTGTTGTTTTTTTTCTCTAAATAATTCTTGAAATTGAAATATACATTGTATTTCTCTCTCTATGTCTTCTTTCGTAAAGGAAAATTAAAGATGGGTTGACTTGTGAATGACACGGAATATGAAATGTCTTGAAGACATAGGCGCTTAAAGTAAAAATTATTTCGTAGGTTGGCTTGCTTGGGACAGTAACGTTTTGTCCAATTTTGATTTTCAGTATAATTCAAATAATAAGAGAAGGGAGAAACGTTTGGTTCCTTTGTTAAGGCTTATGAACAGTTTATTTTTAGATTTTTTTTGTGTCCTGCCTTTATTCTTTTTATAAATGACTCAAGACATTACCTCATATTCCTCCCTCGTCCTATTTTCCCTACAGCAACAATAATCCTGTGAGGTGGGTTGGACTGAGAGAGAAAGACTGGCCCAAAGTCACCCATTCGGCTTTCATGCCTAAGGTGGGACTAGAACTCACAGTCTCCTAGTTTCTAGCATTAGTCCAAACTGCCTGTCTCACTCGACCAAAACTGCCTTTCATCAACTACGAACAATCAGCAAGAATAGAATATAACTTCAGTATGGTCATCAACCAGCAATTTTTTTTAAAAAAAATTTTTTTTAATTTTTTTTTTATTTATATGCCACCCGTCTCCAGAGACTCAGGGCGGCTTACAGTGCGTTAAGCATTAGCCTTCATACTTTTGTATATTTATACAAAGTCAGCTTATTGCCCCCACAAACTGGGTCCTCAATTTACCTACCTTAGAAAGGATGGAAGGCTGAGTCAACCTTGAGCCTGGGGAGATTCGAACATGCAGTAATTGCAGGCAGCTGGATGTTAATAACAGGCTATTAGTCTGCTGCGCCACCAGGCTCTTTGACATACAATATATTAAAAAACATACAATATATTAAAAAATAACACTGACATTAATAATGAATAATAACATCCCTGTTACAAAAATACATGATCTCAAACTGTTAGGGTCACTCCAGGGGTGGGTTCTAAATTTTTTTACTACCGGTTCTGTGGGCATGGCTTATTTTCTGGGCGTGGCTTGATGGTCATGTGACAATTATTTAGGATTTAGCAGAGGTACTGGTCTACCAGGCTTTTAACTGTTTGCAGAGCTGTACCGGTCTACCCATTTATTTTTGCAGGCACCGGTCTACTCATTTGTTTTCTTTTAACTCTGATCAGGTGTAGGGCGGCCCTTTGAAGCCCCACGGCAAGAGTTTAAACAGTTTTTTTCCCTCTAGTCATCAGCTGGAGTTTTTTTCTTTTAAATGGCTCTGACGATCCAAGCTCTGACGATCCCAGCTGAGTTGCCTGATCGGCAGAGGGTTTTTTAAAAACCCTCTGACAATCAGGCAACTCAGCTGGGATCGTCAGAGCCTTTTGAAAGCATTTTTTTACATGGTAAAAAATGGTTTTAAAAATAATAATAATAAAAAAGGCCACGCCCACCCATCACATTACCCCCCCACACACCAAGCCATGCCCACAGAACCGGTAGTAACAAATTTTAGATTTCACCACTGAATTGGTATAATAATTGCTAATCTCCAATCACTTGGCAGAACAATCAACAACTATCCACAACTCTCAACTGTCACAAAAAGGTGCTTTTTTCTCTTTTAGGAAACACAAAATCTTTTTTTTTTATTTCATTATTTTGATATTGGGCTTTTCAAACAAACACTTAAGTCCCAAAGAATCTCTCCCATAAGTCAAAAATTCAATATAATGCCAGTGGCCAACCCAACGTATCAGTGAAAAATGTGACTCAGGCCCTCAGGCTTAAAACTTTTTTTAAAAAAATCAAGAGACATAAGAAAACAGTGACCACACATCCAGAAGTGTGTATGTATGTGTGTCTGTTGCAGCCAATATGGCAAAAAACACAGTAAGTCAAAATTGTATTAGGCTGAGAAAGCCTCAAACTGAAGACCTCCAAATCGCTGGACTACAACTCTCATTAGCCCTAGCCACTAGGGGGGGAGAAGGGGATTATGGGAATTGTAGATTAGCCTAGCCCAGGGGCCTGCAAACTTAAAAACTCAAAGAGCCATTTGGACCCGTTTCCCACAGAAAAGAAAACACCGGGAGCCACAAAACCCTTCCCGTGCCTGACTATTTCTTGAGTGACCACAAAATTAGCATAGGTAGTTGAATCAAACGTTCTGTTTTCTTCTGAAACTTTTCTTTTCTTGAATTTATCCATGGTTGGCCTACCAGGGGTTGAAAAGCTTAATAAATCGTGTGCTGGCAGGTGTCGCACATTGGCAGTTGTGACGCATATTTTGAGTGACAGGGAGCCACAGCAGAGGGGTGAAAGAGCCACATGCGGCTCCAGAGCTGCAGGTTGCTGACCCTTGGCCTAGCCAGAGTCTGCTCCACAAGGTGCTTTAACTGTTATCTGTGGTTTGCAGATGGATATTGTATGTGGTAAGTTGTTTTTGGAGAGCAAAGCTAAGATGTTTGAGCAGACAGTCCTAAGAAATAAAGAAATGGGCTTTGTTTTTTCTGTTTTCAGACTTTATTAAATGTTAACAAAATGTAAAATATGCAAAAAAAAAAAGAATTATTTAGAAAAAGAAAAGTCAGGGAGGAAGGGGTATAAAAATAAAAAAGGGAGAAAATAAACAAAAGAGTAACTTCCAACTTTCTTCATTACAATTACAAATATACAACCCATTAACCTTTGGCTGTAAAATTCCAAAGTTTGAAAAGAATGCAGAATGCTTGCAGGACCCTTGACCAAAGACTGGGCTGTTGAAATATCTCAGGAGGCCAGTGTCCTTGTTTGTCCCTGAATGAGGAGCTATAGATCCTGATAAGTTTGACTTGTACATTTTCAAGTTGTAATCTCGCACCAAAATGCCTTTTGGAAGATGATAAAGAATTGGCAGCACTGCAACAGAAGCTGCTACTGATTATTTAGTATAGTAGATGGATGAGGTCAGGTTGGTTTTTTCGGCCCAAAGAGGTTGTAGAAAAAATGCTTTTAAAAGTAAAAAAAAAAAAGCCTCTGATGATCGCTCAGCTGGGCATGGGGGGGGGGGGAGAGGCAGGGATTTTTGCTACCGGTTCTCCGAACCACCCGCTGCCATCGCTACTGGATCGGGTGATCCGGTCCGAACCGGGAGCATTTCACCCCTGCCTGCATCAAGGGATTTGCAGAGCTGCAAGACAGGAGCTTCAAAATGATCTCCAAGTGAGCCAGAGCCCAGATCCTCCTGTTGGATGCGCCCGCCTTCCAAGTTGCCTTAGAAACTAAATGCATGCAAAAGCGATGTCATCTAAACATTGGCAGGCGATAAATCCTTCCCTCCCACATCGCGGCGAACTGTTGCTTCCCTTCTCTTCTTCTGAGAAAGGTTATCGGATTGCTAAGTCTGCTTTGTCCGATAAAAAAAGCAATTCAGAAGATGCACTGACTACATTAAAGTTTGTTGTGGCAGTTCCAGAGAAATGAGTGCTGAGTGCTGCTTAGTCATGTCCTTTAGGTAGAGCTGAATTCTAGGCTTCGGTCTGGTCTGAGCATGGGTGGATGATCTCTTAAGGCCAGGCTGCTTTCCTAAGCACCTGGAGACAATTTCTTAGGCAACCTTCTTGAGAACTTCTTGTGATGTTCTCCTATTCTGAACCTAGATCAAAAGTTCACACTTGGGGGTGATGGTGAGTGTCATGGTGACAGTCAGTGGATCTAGGACAATGAAATGGGATCACAAAAATCCTTACTGATATTAAAAGGCTTAGGACAGGGGTCCCCAAACTTGGCAGCCCTAAGACTTGTGGACTTCAACTCCCAGAATTCTCCAGCCAGGATAGCTGGGAGTTGAAGTCCACAAGTCTTCAAGCTGCCAAGTTTGAAGACCTCTGGCTTAGAATGAATCCCAGAAGTATGGACTTTCTGTTGCTTCAGAAGCCTGCAAGCATTCCTCTCATTTTTAGCCCTGGAATGGGGTAGAACCAGGGGTGGGCTGCTGGAGGTTCGGGAGAACCTCTAGGTAAGATTCTGTACAGTTCGGAAAACCCACAAATCCCACTCCAGACGGGCCCTGCCCACCCTGCCCCGCCCTTCCCAGGAGTCCCCATACGGCCCATTTTGGATGCAGGTAAGTGCAGGGTGTGCGCGGAGACTTGGGGAGGGTGAAAAACGAGCCTACCGGAAGTTCGTGAAGGCTGGAAACAGACCTGTTTCCGGCCTCCAGAGGAACATTGGCGCCTGGGGAGGCCCTTTTCGCCCTCCCGGAGGCTTGAGAAAAGCCTCAGGAGCCCGGGGAGGGTAAAAATGCCCTTCCACCATGGTGCAGGAGGTGGACTAGGCAACGCCCACCATGGCCACGCCCACCCAGCAACTGGGCAGAGAACCCCTTGCTTAAATTTTTGAAGCCCACCACTGGGTAGAACAATTAATCAGTGGAACGACTTGCCTCCAGAAGTTGTTCCAACAGTGGAGGTTTTTAAGAAGCGATTGATCAACCATTTGTCTGAAATGGTATAAACTTCTTCAGAACTGAAGAACTGAAGAAGCTTCTTGGATGAGAAGCAAAACATTTTCAAGAAAAAAAAACCAAGAAAATCCGGTTGTCTTTCGGAAAAGCACCTTTGGGACAACCAGGGCTTGAATGATTGAGAATCTCCATAGACATTTCTCCTCCCGTGTCTGTTTAGAAAGCTGTCAAACCCAGATTTCTCCTTCAGAAATAGGCCCTTCAGAATAGGAGATGCAACTAAGTTGGAAACAGCCAACCCAGGAAGCAAATAGTTATTTAGTTCAGAGATAATATGCGATTCTTTCCTTTTTGTCAAACAATCTAGAAGAGTCTTTAGGAGGCACATCTGAAGAATTTTAGAAATAAGTAACACGGACATTTCATGAAAACAACATTGACCACTTTAGATGATCCCTTCCTATCTGTTTAATCATTCTCCCCATCTGGCACATAAAAATTAGAATTTGGCATGATTAAAAGAATCCTCCCTGCAAGACATTGTGGGAGGATCACACACCTCTGCAGTGGAAAAAACCCTTTATAAAAGAGCAAGATTTGCCAGTGTTGCTGGAGCTTAAAACAGTGGCCGTTTCTCTTTTTATTCGGCCTCTCAGTTTAAGAATGAAAAACAATGCGCCTTAGAAAGCAGCAGTTTGAGGAAGATGAATAGCTGGTTTGTTTTCCCTTATTCCCCCAATGTTATAAGATCTCCCACTAGAAAATTCTATCACTCTATCCGCTTTGATCTAATAAACCTTATGAATCTGTCGCTGAGCTTTCATTTTTCTCATCGGTAAAGCAAACTTTTACCGTGAAGCCTCATATTAAATATTGAAGTCAACAACTACCCAGCTTCCGCTTAAACTTCTAGTCCTTATGGTTTGAAATATTAACATGAAATTAAAATGGCCGGTGAAAGACGTTAGAAACCCAAATTAAAAATGGTAGTTGTGAGTTTCACAGTCTTGATAGTTTCTTTCCCCCAGGTCTGACATCTTAAAAACCACTGAAAGGATCCCATTGGTTCAAAGTGCAGAGAAACCTTTCTGGCTTGTGTTTTGTGTACATACCGTTTTGCAAAAAGCAACAACTCTTTAGTTAGAATAGAACAGAATAGAATTTTTTATTGGCCAAGTGTGTTTGGACACACAAGGAATTTGTCTTGGTGCATACACTCTCATTGTACATAAAAGAAAAGATACGTTCATCAAGAATCATAAGGTACAACACTTAATGATAGTCGCAGGGAACAAATAAGCAATCAGGAAACAATATCAATATAAATTGTAAGGATACAAGCAACAAAGTTACACTCATACAGTCATAAGTGGAAGGAGATGGGTGGTGGGAATGATGAGAAGATTAATAGTAGTGCAGACTTTGTAAATAGTTTGACGGTGTTGAGGGAATTATTTGTTTGGCAGAGTGATGGCGTTCGGGGAAAAACTGTCCTTGTATCTAGTTGTTCTGGTGTGCAGTGCTCTATAGCGTCGTTTTGAGGGTAGGAGTTGAAACAGTTTATGTCCAGGATGTGAGGGGTCTGTAAATATTTTCACAGCCCTCTTTTTGACTCGTGCAGTATACAAGTCCTCAATGGAAGGCAGGTTAACGATATTATTAAATGCCTTTTTTTTTTTTCCTTCGTCCCACTGACACTGGGGGATTGTTAAACATCTAAGCGTTGTAGAGGGATTAAAAGGTAGAACTGACCCATTCAATGTGTTTGGCCCATTTAAGAATGCTTAATGTGCCCCATATATGCCATGTGGGAACTCTTGGGGTCCATAGTTAGCACTTGTTTATATATTAATTGATGATTTTTATCCTGCCTTTATTATTTTATAAGTAACTCAATGCAGTAAACATACTTAATACTTCTTCCTCTTTTCCCCCCACAATAGTAACCCTGTGAGGTGAATTGGGCTGAGAGTCAGTGGTGGGGACCAGCAGATCGGGCAAACTGGTAGTGGCTGTGGCGGGAGACTCCGCCCACCCACCTGGATGTCTCTGCACATGCGCAGAAGCATCGCACGCGCAAGCGCGCATGGACCTATGAGCGAATTTTTGATTTTTGAGCCAATGGGCAGGCTTTCTATATTTGGGCAACAGGGTGGCCTTCAGAAGATACCCAGAACTCAATCGCCAGTTCTGGGTAAATGTATGTGAATGCGGACAGTTATTTAGATAATCAGTCCAGACCTGGCTAGAAAGGCTCATGTTTAGAATTTTAAATGACACTTTAACAGGAAAATGGGAAAATCAATAGGCAGCCAATTGCAGTGGTGTTATAAGTATTATATGTTTTGGCTGCTCAGCTCCCACACTTGAACAGCTGTGTTTCCAAATCATTTCAAGGCAGCTTCACGTCAAACAGGTTGCTGTGATCAAGAATGTTTGTTCTTGCTGCCTGATGTCGTTCTCCCAACGAGAGGAGCAGAGAGATGATTTTAAGACAGAAATGTTTAATCTGAACACACCGTCGGAGCAGCTGACAAAAGGAATGGGATTGTATTTTTAAGTGATCTTCGAGCGCAAGGATGAGGCACCATTATTGCTGATTTGCCTGTGAAGCTTTAATGTCGGAATTTGGAAATGATGAAGGATTTCATGTGAGTGTGTGTTTAGCTGAAAGGATGTTGGTCCTTTCTCTCTCCTTGCTGAGTTCTTAACATCTTTCCTTTTCTCTTTTTATTTACTTTTGTCTCTTTTCCTTCTTCCTCCTTCTCCTTGTCCTCCTCCCTCCTTCTTTTATTTCTCCTTCTCCCTTTGCTTCTCCTTCTCCTTCTCCTATTTCCCCTTCCCCTTCTTCTTCTCCTTTTTCTTTTCTTCTTCCCCTTCCCCTTCTCTTCCCCTTTCCTTCTTCCTTCCCCTTCCCCCTCTCTTCCTCCTCTCCTTCCTTCCTTTCTTCCCTCCCTCCCTTCTCCCCCTCCCTTCCCTATCCTTCCCTTCCTCCCTCCCTTCTCCCTCCCTCCCTCACTGCCTCTCTTCCCTCCCTTCTCTCTCCCTGCCTCCCTCCCCCTTCCTTCCCGTATCTCTCTCTCTCCCTCCCTCCCCCTCCCTTCCCTCCCTTCTCTCTCCCTCCTTTCCCTCCCTCCCTCCTCCCTCCCTCCCTTCCTTCCCTCCCTCCCTCCCTTCTTCCTTCCTGTATATCTCTCTCTCTGCCTCCCTCCCTTCCCTCCCTCTCTCCCTCCCTTCCCTCCTCCCTCCCTTCCTTCCTTCCCTCCCTCCCTTCTTCCTTCCCATCTCTCTCCCTCCCTGCCTCCCTTTCCTCCCTCCTTCCCCCTTCCTTCCTTCCTTCCTTCCTTCCTCCCTCCCTTCCCTCCTTCTCTCTCCCTCCCTCCCTTCCCTCCCTTCTCCCTCCCTCCCTTCTTTTTCTCAATGTTCACAGGATATCCTACTGTACAGCAGACAAAGTACATGACAAAGTGTTTGCCTACATTGCTCAAAGTCAGCACAATGAGAACCTGGAATGTCATGCTTTCCTCTGTTCCAAGAAGAAAATGGTCAGTATTAAGTGGAAAAGTCACTGGTGTCTTCATTTATTCAATTCATATGGCTGCCCATGTGGCATTTCCAGTTTTCGGTAAAACCACCCCCATTGTTTCACTTAACTGTTTCACTTAGAGGCATTCATTTAACAACCGCAGCAGCCAACGTACGCCCGTCGTGTTTACTTAACAACCGCCTCAAAAAAGGTCATAAAATGGGGTCAGTCCCATGACCAACTTTCAGAACTCTATTATAGTTCTAAGGGGAGAATTACCTGTACAAGGACTTTCGTTTGGAGGGGGTTAAGCTTTTATTTGCTTTGCTTTGTTATTCGCTCACAAAAGGACAAAAATCTCCCTAATAGCTATTTCTAATTTTGGTGCGGTTTTCAAATGTCCTTGAAAACTTTCCCTGCCAAAGATGTCTTCCCTCTCCTTCTTCTTTTTCCCTCCTAGACAAAAAAAAAATGCCTGCTAATTTGACATTAACAGAAATATGAAGACAGGCTGCACATCTTCAGGGCATGGACTCTGTATGTCTATTTTTTACATCTTCGGCATATAATTACTCTGTATTTTTAGCGCCTGGGCAATTCACAACATTATCTGGGTCTATTAAACTTGATTTGAATGTGACAGCTGAAATTGTAAACAGCTGTGAAGAGTTTCATACTTAATTACCATATTTAAGGATTTTTTTTTTCCTTTTTCCCCCTGATAAAAAAGTACTTTGCTCCTCCACCAAAGATTTAAATGGCTCTGACAAAATCTCTTTTTTTTCCTTTCATGTCATGCTGGCACAGGTTCAAATTTTGTCTGTTCTTCTAAATAGCCCCATCGCTCGCGTTTGTCCAGCATGCCAGCCAGCTAAAGGGTGGGAGGTTTTACAGATTGGAATCCAAGTTTCTCATCAGTATCATAGAAATGGATTTTTTTTTTGGCTGGTTTATGGCATCCATTAATCTATAAGGAAACAAACTGTGTGTGCAAAATCCTCTACCTATCTATTTATTTGTCATAACTTTCTTAGACAGAGCTGCTGTCTTAGACTAAATTATAGTTCTTGTTCAGGCATCTTGATAAGCCATATTTTTTCTGAGTTCTGCCTGGAACATATTATCCAAGTCCACAATTGTGTAATGCTATATACACTATTGTTTTTGCTATATATAAGGCTACACTTGGAATACTGCATCCGGTTTTGGTTGCCATGATGTAAAAAAGATGTGGAGACTCTAGAAAGAGTGCAGAGAAGAGCAACAAAGATGATTAGGGGACTGGAGCAGGGGTGAAATGCTCCCGGTTCGGACCGGATCGCCCGATCCGGTAGCAATGGCGGCAGGTGGTTTGGAGAACCGGTAGCAAAAATCCCTGCCCCCCCCCATGCCCAGCTGAGCTGCAGGATAATCAGAGGCTTTTTTTTTAACTTTTAAAAGCATTTTTTCTACAACCTCTTCCGATGAAAAAATGCTTTTAAAAGTAAAAAAAAAAAACCCTCTGATGATTGCGCAGCTCAGCTGGGATCATCAGAGGCTTTTGAAAGCGTTTTTTTCCTGCAACCTCTTGGCCGAAGAGGTGGTTAAAAAAATGCTTTGAAAAGTCTCTGACGATCCCAGCTGAGTTGCCTGATCGGCAAAGAGGTATTTTTTAAAAAATACCTCTGTGCCGATCAGACAACTCAGCTGGGATCATCAGAGAGGCTTTTTAAAAAATACAAAAATTCTTCATAAAACATATGAAGAACGGTTGCAGGAATTGGGTATGTCTCAGTGGTGGGTTTCAAAATTTTTTACTACCAGTTCTGTGGGTATGGCTTGGTAGCCATGGCTTGGTGGGTGTGGCAGAGGAAGGATACTGTAAAATCTCCATTCCCACCCCAATCTAGGGGAAGGTTATTGCAAAATCCCCATTTCCTCCCAATCAGCTGGGACTTGGGAGGCAGAGAATAGATGTGGGTGGGGCCAGTCAGAATTTTTACTACCGGTTCTCCGAACTATTCAAAATCTCCGCTACCGGTTCTCCAGAACTGATCAGAACCTGCTGAAACCCACCTCTGGTTATGTCTAGTTTAATGAAAAGAAGGACCAGGGGTGACATGATAGCACTGTTCCAATATCTCGGGTTGCAATAAAGAAGAGGGAGTCAAGCTCTTCTCCAAAGCACCTGAGGGCAGGACAAGAACCAAGTGGGGGGGAGGAACTAATCAAGGAGAGAAACAACCTAGAACTAAGGAGAAATTTCCTGACAGTTAGATCAATTAACCAGTGGATCAACTTGCCTCCAGAAGTTGTGAATGCTCCCCGGCCCCCCTGCACCCCATTTTCTGCCTGGACAGCCTCCTGCAGCGAAAATGGAGCCCTGGGGGGGGGGGGGCACCCGCACCCCCCCCCCGTGCCTTGTTTTCGGCTTGGACAGCCTCCTGCAGCCTCTGCCAGCAAAAATAGAGCTCCCTTTAGCTCCATTTTTGCTAGCAGAGGCACTGCGGGCCAGTCCTTTGCTGAACCCAAGCTGGCCCTGCGGGCTAGATCTAAGCAGTCTGTGGGCCAAATCCAGCCCACGGGCCTTGACTTTAACACCCCTGTTCTAGAACCTTATTTACACCCTTAAAATATATGAGGCTTCAGTCATATCCCCCTTTCCATTCTGTTCTCTAGGCTGTACATACTCAGTTATTCCAATCTGACCTGATACGTTTGTTCCTCAGACCTTGTGCCATTTTTATTGCCTGTCTCTGGACTCACTCAATCTTATCCATACCTTTTATTAAGTCCAGAACTGAACACAGTATTCCAAATGGACTCTGACTAAAGCAATAGCAGTAGCACTTAGACTTACATACCGCTTCATGGTGCCTTACAGCCCTCTCTAAATGGTTCCAAAGTCGGCATATTGCACCCAACAATCTGGGTCCTCATTTTACCAACCTCAGGAGGATGAAAAACTGAGTCAACCTTGAGCCGGTGAGGATTGAATGCCTGACACTGAGCTGAATTAGCCTGCAATACTGCATTTTAAAGGGATTTTTTAAAGGGACACGGTGGCTCAGTAAATAAGATGCTTGTCCATCAAAAGGTCGGCAGTTCAGCGGTTCGAATCCCTAGTGCCACATAAAAGGGTGAGCTCCCGTTACTTGTCCCGGCTTCTGCCAACCTAGCAGTTTGAAAGCAGGTAAAAATTGCAAGTAGAAAAATAGGGATCACCTTTGGTGGGAAGGTAACAGCATTCTGTGCGCCTTTGGCGTTTAGTCATGCCGGCCACATGACCACAGAGACGTCTTCGGACAGCACTGGCTCTTCGGCTTTGAAACAGAGATGAGCACCACGTCCTAGAGTCAGGAACAACTAGCACATATGTGCAAGGGAAACATTTACCTTTACCTTACTGCATTTTAACCGCTGCCCCACCACAGCTCCTTGCCCTATATAGCAGGGTTTGGACCTCTTTTTCCTGATGATGCATCCCAGAACTTCCACTCATTTAGGATGGGAGGAAACCCCCAGTATTTGGAAGAATTAACTTTGAGTGGGGTACATCACCTAGAGTCACTTTCATATGAGATAGGCAGCTATATAAATATAACACCAAAGCCTGTGATCAATCAATCAATTATTCAATTAATCAATCCCTCCCCAGTTACACCTAGGAGGGTTCAGCCTGTAAATCTAAACACATAGTAGTAATTTATGGTTGGATATACACAGACATAGACACACACACACACACACGGCTATTATTCCACACTTCAATTCTTAGTTGAGGTATTAATAGAGGTGAGAAGAGAAAGAAAAAAGTGATATTCAAAAACAACCCAACAACTCCATATTTATTTCCAAAAACGATCTGTACTAGGCTAGACAGAGGTCTAGAATTTATTTGCAAAATATTTCAGGTTTTATCTCATTTCACAGGAAAAATAGACTCTTTTTAACCCTGTAGGCCACATGGAAGGGATCGGCTGGGGAAGAATATTTGAATGAGAAATTATACAGTAGTTCAATATGCTGGATAAGTAAGATGGTAGAACCCTGGGCATTTCTTGTTAAATGTTTTGCAATACATAGTATGTATTTGATTTGCATTCAGAAATTTGCATTCAGTATTTTCTAGACTTACAATGGCTTAAAAGACATTATTAAAATGCAATAAAACTCTGCACAGTGTGGAAGAATAGCACAACACAGTATACCACAAGGGCATACGAAGAATAGCTAATAATAAATAACAACTGAATAAAGGTACCGACCTACTATTTTCTAAAAGCTATGTTGAGTGAATCACTGCAGCTGTTAAATTAGTAACTCAGTTGTAAAGTGAATCTGGCTTCCCCACTGACTTTGCTTGTCAGAAGGTTGCAAAATGTGATCACAGGACCCCAGGACACTGCAACCGTCATAACTATGAGTCAGTTGCCAAGTGCCTGAATTTGGCAATTTGAGAATGCTGCAATGGACATAAGTGCGAAAAATGGTCATAAGTCACTTTTTTCAGTGCCATGGTAACTTCAGACGGTCACTAAATGAACTGCTGTAAGTCGAGAACTATGTGTACTTTGGGGCTTCAGATCTTTTTATCTCAAGGAAGTAAGGTACCATGAGTAAATTCTCTTGGGAGGATCTCCCTGAATAGGTCAAATCTGTTTAGAGTGGGTGGTCTTGCAAGTAACTCGGTGCCTAGCTGTATAGTACTTTATGTCAAAGTTTACTTTGAGTCGCACATGGAATCTTATTAGTAGCCAAAGCTAAGTAACCCCAGTTAGACATAATACGATAATTGAAACTGATGTCAGTCATTAAGCAAGTCAGTTTGGACCAATAGCAGCTTCCAAGTAATTTTTGAGGTTAGTCCCAGGTAGAGCATATTGTAGTAGTCTAATTGCATGATGAGCTGTAAGCTACCCAGAGATGGTTTGATACAAAATGAACAGCAGATAAATTTAATAAATAAAAATAGTGATGAGTGCACGGAATCTGTATAGCTACCCTGTTTCCCTGAAAATAAGACATCTCCTGATAATAAGCCCAATCAGGCTTTTGAGCGCATGTGCTAAAATAAGCCTCCCCCCGAAAATAAGCCCCTCCCCGAAAATATTTAAATGCAGAGCTGGAAATCAGGTAAGACAGCAAGAGGAGCCCCATCTTGCTCCATGCACCCCAAAATAATAACACATCCCCGAAAATAAGGCCAAGCACTTATTTCGGGGTTCAAAAAAATATAAGACAGGGTCTTATTTTCGGGAAAATACGGTAATTCTCCTGTTTCAGGGAAGACAGCAACTGATAAACTAATTTCACTGATAGAAGATAATATTTTCAGCTCAGGGTTGAGCCGTGGGCTCCTTGATGCTCTCTGAGTTCGGCTAGCACTGATGATGTTACCTAGTTTGGTACTGAAACATTTGCAAGAAAACAACCAAGCTCAGAGAGCACCAAGGACCTCACGGACTGATTGTAACTGGTCAATGAGCCTCCCAACTAGGGTTCCACTTGTCACGAATCAGGAGAATCTTGTAAATCCTGAACCTTCTGCCTCAGGTATAAAAGACATGAACAAAATTGCATATTCATATGTACAGTATGTATGCCTAGAAAGAGAGACCACTACCATGTTTCCCCGAAAATAAGACCCTGTCTTATATTTTTTGAACCCTGAAATAAGAGCTTGGCCTTATTGCCATGCACTCAAAAGCCTGATTGGGATTATTATCAGGGGATGTCTTATTTTGGGGGAAACAGGGTATGTATGTACAGTATATATGGTGGGAGATTTCAGCTTAAAGACTTAAAAGACATAATAAGACATGAAGAAATATGGATCAAGGTGGCAATCTTGATAGGATTGAAGATGTTCTCTGATGTCCCACTCTTTATCTGCCTCACCCAACATCCTGTTTTGGTCTTTTCCTTCTCAGAATGCATTTCTTTCTGTTCGTTTTTTTCCTTTCCAGTTTTCCCAATGTTCTGTTATTTCTTTCTTTTCCCACCAGAAATTGTACCACTGCTGTTCAGCAATTTTCTGTTGAATTTGAGCTGTTTAGTCCTGCATGAGGGGGGATTGGAAAGAAGGAAACCAGCCCGGTAACCACAGGTTGCCCCTTCCCTGACAGGAATATAGAGTGAATAACTGCAGCCGGCCCAGGCTGTTGCAGGACTTAAGAACAAGGGAATTGAACAAGCTTAGTTAACAGCTTTGGGGCGCCATGGCTCAGTGGTTAAAGATGCTGAACTTGTCAGCTGGAGAGCTGACAGCCCGGGTTCAAGACCCGAGCGCTGCGTGATGGGATGAGCGCCTGTTCCTTGCTCCACCTCCTGCCCACCTAGCAGTTCGAAAGCATACAAGTAAGGGGCGACATGATAGCAGTATCAGTGGTGGGTTTCTACCGGTTTGGGAGAACCAGTAGCAGCTGGATGTCATCACAGACGCTCTGTGCATGCGCAGAAGGTTCTGTGCATGCACAGAAGCGCCGCACGTGAGTGAAGTGATCGTGAGCTCGCGCATGCTCACAGTTCTAAACCGGTAGCAGAGATAAGTGAAACCCACTGCTGAGCAGTATCCCAATATTTGAGGGGCTGCCACAAAGAAGAGGGGGTCAAATTATTCTACACAAAGCACCAGAGGGCAGGACAAGAAACAATGGATGGAAACTAACCAAAGAGAGAAGCAACCTGGAATAATTAACAGTAAGGACAATTATTGAGCGGAACAGCTTGCCTTCAGAAATCATGAGCACTCATCACTGGTGTTTTTTAAGAAGATACTGGATAGTCACTTGTCTGAGATGGTATAGGTTCCCCTGCTTAAGCAGAGGGCTGGACTAGAAGACCTCCAAGGTCCCTTCCAGCTTCTCTTTTTCTTTTTCTTTTTCTTTCTCTTTTCTTCTCTTCTCTTCTAATGCAAGTAGATAAGGAGCTGTGGTGGTGCAGTGATTAGAATGTAATATTGCAGGTTAACTCTGCTCATTGCCAGTTCGATCCTGACCGGTTTAACGTTGACCCAGCTTTCCATCCTTCCAAAATCAGTAAAATGAGGACCCAGATTGCTGGGGGGCAATGGGCTGACCCTGTAAACAGCTCAGAGAGGGCTTTAGAGCAGTATGAAGTGGTATATAGGTCTAAGTGCTAATGCTAGTGCTATAAATAGGTACACTTTGATGGGAGGTAACAGCTTTTTGTGCGTCTTAGTGTATAGTCATACCGGCCATGTTACCACAGAAGAGTCTTTGGACAATGCTGGCTCCCTTGGCTAACAAATGGAGATGAGCACTGCCCCCTAGAGTCAGATACGACTGGACAGAAGAAACCTTTACCTTCACTTAACGGCTTTGTAGCTGAGGAGGAAGTTGAGAGCTCCGATTAGCAAAATATTTCCTGCATGACAATCTCTATGTTGTGATGCAGCCACTGTTCTGTCCCTGTCCCCACAAACACACAAACAGCCAGCCAGGGGTTAAAGAAGTACGCACACAAGGTTCGTTATCAGGAACTTGGCAGCAATACGATAACCGTCTGCCAAGTGCTTTACTACAAGAAGAGGGAGTGTTCCTCCACCAGATAACACCAACGAATACACACAGTTTTCAAAACAGTCCAGCTCAAACATGAAACCTTCAGCAGATTTGGCGTTGTACAAAGTGACTAGCCAGAAGTTAGCTTTGTCCATCACAGAGTCTAAATGGCCACCACACTCTCTTATATAGCCTGTGGGGTGTAGTCCAGTGACTCAGCTTAATCCCTGGCACGCCTCCTCATCTGCTGCAAACTTTTATCTCGCCTTCGTTGGCGTGGATCCAGGAACGACTTATCACCCCCATCGCTGTCATCAGAGACACCTGGCTCCTGGTCAATCTCCTCTCCCTCAGCAGACACCTGAGGCATTGCCAGAGAGGAGGGTCCTGGAGAGGGAGGCCTGGCCGGCTCCTCTCCTTCATGTTCGGAGCCTTCTTCCTCCGATAAGATAGGCTCGGAGGACGGAGCCACAACAGCCACATTGCAATTGGCGTTAATATGGCATAAAGGCGGACAGAACAGAAAGAAATTCAGAGAAGGAAACTATCAATTAACGTAGTTTTAATTGTGTCAATTTAATCTTTGGGCCAACTAATAAAAAAGTTTAAATGCATAAACTTGTGTAAAGTCGAATGCAAGGAACAGACTCTGAGCTTAACGTCAACCATGGTTGCCTGTTCATAATACCAGAATTGCCCTTTGAACATTTTCCTTAATAGGTTTATTTATTCAAAATATTAATTGCTATGTTTAGACAGGTAACTTACAACTGGAATTGAGCCCGGAATTACAATTGTAAATTGTAGTGCTCATAAGTCAAGGCATCCCATCTCTGGATTCAAAGTTACGACTGTTTTGTAAAATGGTCATTAAATTCCATGGTTGTTAAGCGAATCCCCTTTTCCCAGTGGGGGTGTTTTGCAGGAAAACCGGAAGTAAAAACTGGAAACTGGCCCCAAAAAATATATCATAAATTTCAATCACATGACTGCGGGATGCTGTCATAACAGCCATAATAACAGTGAGCTGATTGCCAAGGACCCAAAATATGATCACATGGGCATGGGGGTCTGTGCGGCCATTGTAACTCCCAAAACAGGGCGTACAGTAAGTAGCTCTTGGGAGGTCAGTCGTAACTTTGAGCAGTGTTAAGCAACCAGTTGTAAGGCAGGACTAATTTTGGTCACCACACTATAAAAAAGATGTTGAGACTCTAGAAAAAGTGCAGAGGAGAGCAACCAGGATGATTAGGGGACTGGAGACTAAAACATATGAAGAACGGTTGCAGGAACTGGGCATGGCTAGTCTAGTGAAGAGAAAGACCAGGGGAGACATGATAGCCGTCTTCCAATACTTGAGGGGCTGCCACAGAGAGGAGGGGGTCAAGCTATTTTCCAAAGCACCTGAAGTCCAGACAAGAAATAATGGATGGAAACTGATCAAGGAGAGATTCAACCTAGAAATGAGGAGGAACTTTCTGACGGTGAAAACAATCGATCTATTGAACAGCTTGCCTTTCAAAGTTGTGGGAGCTTCATCACTTGAGACCTTCAACAAAAGATTGGACTGCCATTTGTCAGAAATGGTGTAGGGTGGAGCGGGGTTGGGGGTTGGGGTTGGACTAGATGACCTGTAAGGTCCCTTCCAACTCTGTTAATCTGTTAATATCCCTCTTTCCATTTTTGGGGATCTCTCAGTTACGTTGAACTGAGAGTTAGGGACTAGAACAAAGCTGTTTCCTTCAGATTCGTAAAAGACCTATTTTAACTACTGCACTATGCTGGTTTACGTTTAAAAGGGGGGATTTTTTTTCAAAAAAAAAAATGAACTTTCTATAGGCAAAGCAATTCTCTATAAACTCTCCTCTTTCTCTTCAGAGAAAGGAAGACAAGCCTTCCAAATAATTGTGTGAATTCACCCAAGGTTTTCTGCAGCTGCCTCCGAAGTCTCTGTAGCCAAGACTGCCAGCTTCACTATTAAATTAAGTCTTAACCGGTGTGGGACCGACATAGTTGTAGAAGGAGCTCCTGGTTTAACATCTCTCCTTTGCTGTCTTCAGACCTGCAAAAGGAGCTGCCTATTAGTGCCCCATTATAATTGCTGTTGTATCTGTGTTTTTTTTTCCCCCTTCTCTCCCTCCAGGCCCAAGCCGTCACGCTCACAGTTGCTCAGGCTTTCAAGGTAGCATTTGAATTTTGGCAGGCGTCCAGGGAAGGTGAGTGTGAAATTCAGCTACTCCTGATTGTCTCCTTATAGTCAAATAAGAGGGTTGAGAGCGGCTGTGGTTTTGCTTTTTTCATTGTTGTTCTAAACATTTGAGCTTCTTGTGGATCATTGTTTTTTGGGTTTTTTTTTTGTCAGTGTGTTTAGGACACTGCAGGGAAATGCGTTGCATCAAATTTGGACAGTTCTGTTCCTCTTAAGTACAGGTAGTCCTCGACTTACGACCACAATTGAGCCGAAAATTTCTATTGTTATACAAGACAGTTAAGTGAATTTTGCCCCATTTTATGACCTTCTTTCTCAGTGATGGGATTCAGCAGGTTTGGGCTGGTTCGAGTGAAGCGGTAGTTAAATTGCTGCTGGCCCCACTCCTTCCTGCCCTGCCCCTTCCAGGAGTACCCACGTGCCCCATTTTGGCTCCCAGGTAAGTGCAGGGAGGCCTCCTAAGCCCAAAATGGGGCATGGGGGGGCCGCCCCCCCACAGCCCGTTTTTGCTTACACAGGGGTGCAGGAGGCCAAGTGCTGTCTGTCACACACCCTGGCCACACCCACCAAGCCACGCCCACAGAACCAGTAGTAAAAAAATTTGAATCCCACCACTGTTTCTCACAGTGATTAAGCGAAACACTGCAGTTGCTAAGTGAAATGTGCAGTCATTAAGTGAATCTGACTTCCCGCATTTGACTTTGCTTCCGAACAAAGAGAACCGGTTCGGTGACATCATATCGTCACCGCTACCGGCTCGGCCGAACCGGGCCGAACTGGGAGGAACCCACCACTGCACTGTTCAACCATTTTGAAGAGTGCCTAGTGTCATTCCTAATTAGAATGCTTGTCACACACACACAGACACACACACACACACACACACACACCCTTGGTTAGCTTGAGAGATGTAAGAAAATGGTGGCTAGCCTAGCGCCCAAGTCCTTCCTACGCTTACTACAGATAGCCCTCAATTTACAATGACAATTGAGTCCAAAATTTCCATTGTGAAGCAAGACAGCTGTAAATTTTGTGACCTGTCTTGCCACAGTTGTTAAATGAATCCCTGTGGTTGTTAAGTTAATACCACGTTTATTAAATGAATCCGGCTTCACCATTGCTCCACCACGTAAGAGCCGTGGTGGCGCAGTGGTTAGAATGCAGTACTGCAGGACTAACTCACTGCTCACTCCAGGAGTTCGATCAACCAGCTCAAGGTTGGCTTAGCCTTCCATCCTTCTGAGGTTGGTAAACTGAGGACCCAGATTGTTAGGGGGGCAATATGCTGACTCTGTAAACTGCTTAGAGAGGGCTGTAAAGCACTTTGAAGTGGTATATAAGTCTATTACTATTTCCCTTCCCTTCCCTCCCTCCCTCCCTCCCTCCCTCCCAGTGGTTAGAATGCAGTATTTCAGGCTCTGCTCACTGCCAGGAGTTCGATCTTGACCGGCTCAAGATTGACTCGGCCTTCCATCTTTCTGAGGTCGGTAAAATGAGGAGCCAGATTGTTGGGGGGGCCAATCTGCTGACTCTGTAAACTGCTTAGAGAAGGCTGTAAAAAGCACTGTGAAGTGGTGTATAAATCTAAGTGCTGTTGCTTGTCAGAAGTTCGCAAAAGGTGATCACATGACCCCAGCACACTGCAACGGTCATCAACGCATGCCAGTTGCCAAGCATCCAAATTTTGACCAGAGGTTTGCTGCAGAGGTTGTATAAGTGTGAAAAACAGCCGTGTCGTTTTGTTCAGTGCCATTGTAATTTCAGACGGCCACTAAATGAATGGTTGTAGGTTGAGGACTGCCTACATCCCTCATCCCTGCACAGGCATTAACACGCCTCCTTCTAGCTCAGTGTTTCTCAACCTTGGAAGCTTGAAGACGGGTGGACTTCAACTCTCAGAATCCCCCAGCCAGCAGCACTGGCTGGGGGATTCTGGGAGTTGAAGTCCACCCGTCTTCAAGCTTCCAAGGTTGAGAAACACTGTTCTAGCTATTGGGGAAATGCATTCAGCCAGGGCTTCTGGCTACGGCTGACCGCCTGGTACTAATGGAGAGCACACAAGACAGTGAACCATCTGTCTCTTTGTCAGCGGCGGATTGGTTGGAGCAGCTGCAGGCACGTCGGCCCCCCTTCCAGGCTGAATGTAGTTGTGATTAAATGGCTTCCCGAGGCTTGGCATCACGCCGGTAGGAGAAGCCCCCCCTGTTGGGTGCTGTTGTTCAACAATCACGAAGGCTAAAAGGTTGACGTGTGTCTAGGAGAGAGATGGGCTTGGAAGTTTCTTCCTCCCTGGTTCTGCTCCTCCATTGAATAGCCCCAAAGGGGCACCCCCTCGGCATATGGGGAGCTCCAGGCTTCCCAAAAATATTCTCCACTGGGAATCCACAACAGCACAACTTCCTCAGTTGATGTTAGACTATCTTTCTCTTCCCTCTTTCTCTCCCTCCCCGTCCCTCCCAACTTCTTTCTTTCTTTCTTTCTTTCTTTCTTTCTTTCTTTCTTTCTTTCTTCCTTCCTTCCTTCCTTCCTTCCTTCCTTCCTTCCTTCCTTCCTTCCTTCCTCCTTCCATTCCACTCCCTTTTTAAAAGAAATCCTTTCCTTCCTTCTTTCTTTCTTTCTTCCTTCCTTCCTTCCTTCCTCCTTCCTTCCTTCCTTTCTCTCTTTTTGCTTGCGCTCTTTCTTGCACTATTTTTTCTTTTGCTCCTTCCTTCCTTCACCGCTTCCTTCCCCCTTCTTTCCTTCTTTCCTTCCTTCCTTCCTTCCTCTTTCTGCCATCTTTATTACTACTTTATTACAACTTTGATTTATAAATATATCAAAGTTGTTGAAGCAACTGAACTTTTCAAGTAACATAAACTCACAGTCTCCTGGTTTTTGGCCAGCATCTTAACCACCAGACAAACTGGCTCCTTAGGAAGTATAAGTATTAGGAAGGATAAGTAGACCAGTGTGTATTCTTTCCCTGAATTAAGACAACCAAAATGCAAAGTGAGGTCTAGATTCAATTTATATAGATAATTGGATTATTTAGGATGTAATCCATTTAACATATTGTAATGTGGGCATTAATTTCTATTCATGAATAGGTTTGCACACTAGTAAGATTTTTCTTGGGAATTTTTCTTGGGTATTTTGGATAGTTTTAGGAGACAAAATGAGGGCCTTAAATCCTGTAGAAACTGAAAGCAAATCATTGGTTCCCTCCAGAAAACCAACCCTCCTCAAAATGAGCTAGTTTTCTCCCACTTTGGGTAGATTAAGAGTAAAACGGAAGCCATATTTCTCTGCAAAAATTTAAACTACCTGTTTGACCTCTAAACCAGGGCTGGGTGACTATGGGAATTTTATGACTTGCGGACTTCAACTCCCAGAATCCCATGCTGGCTCAGGAATTCTGGGAATTGAAATAATAATAATTGCCATAGTAGCCTAGCCCTGTTTTAAATCTAAGGGGTTTTATGACTCCTACATAAAAGAGATTAAACTATCTGCTCCTTTCACGCTGGGGATTGTGGTTCTCTCTCATAAACTCCCTAGGGTCTCTTCTAGCAATGGTGGGATTACAAAAAATTAACAACTGGTTCTCTGCCCTAATGACAGGCTGGGTGGACGTGGCCATGGTGGGTGTGACCAGGAGGTGTGACAGGCAGCACTTGGCCTCCTGTACCCCCCTGGGAGCAAAAATGGGCTGCAGGGGGGGGGGATGGATGCACCTCCACCCGTGCCCCATTTTGGGCCTAGTAGGCCTCCTGGAAGCAAAAACGGACCGCAGGGGGGCGGGCAGCACCCCTTGCGACCCGTTTTGGGCCTAGTAGGCCTCCCTGCACTTACAGTACCTGGGAACCAAAATGGGGCATGTGGGGACTCCTGGAAGGGGCGGGGCGGGGCAGGGTGGGGCTAGTCAGCAATTGAACTACCGGTTTGCCCAAATCGAACCGAACCAGCTGAATCCCATCATTGCTTCTAGGATCAAAAACAGAGCACAGGAGCCAGGAACAAAAATCCCCACCTTCTTTACCTTCTTGTAGGTTATAATGCAGTTTTGTGGATTGTGGTCTTAAAACTGACGGAGAAACTGATGAGATTTTGTGTCCTGTTCCCATGACAGAGAAAGAGAAGAGAGACAAAGCCATCTTGGAAGGAGAGACAGCCAGCAGCCTAAATTCAGATACTTCCTCCCCAAAAGCATGTAAGTAACCAAGGATTCAGTAAAAAGGAAAACTTGTTGAATTTACCGAGTTTAATTCTTGGAAAGAAAGTACAGTCTGAAAGTAGAATCTAGGAAATACTTTGTTTGGCCAACATATTACATGGATATGTGCAGGGTGAAATGCTCCTAGGTCCGTTACCGGTTCGCTTCGCTACTGGTTCGCGACACGTGCACATGCAGGGTGCACGCCAAATGCACGCTTTGCGTGTGCAGGCGCACTGCAGGTGCTACCGCGCAGTGCTGAAAAAATAGGATTAAGAAGCCTTTTCTAAGGTAAGTAGAACAGTGAGGTAGAGGGATTTCCTGCTTTCTAGCAAATATAAATCATGCGGCACAGCTAATTGTTGGAAATACCGGTTCGGTAGCTTTTATTACTACCTGTTCGGGCAAACTGGGCCGAACCGGTAGCATTTCATCCCTGCTATATGAGGTATAACTCCCTTTTGAAATCAATATATATTCTGGAGTCTCCTGGTAGATGAGTGTATCATCTGTGAATTATAACACAGGGGAGGTTACAGGCAGTCCTTGACGTATGACTACAACTGAGTCCAGAATTTCCATTGCTAAGCAAGACCGTTGTTAAATGAGTTGCTCCCCATTTTACAACTATTTTTGCCACAGTTGTTAAGCAAATCACTATAGTCGCTAAGTGGATCATGCGGTTGTTAAGTAAATATGGCTTCCTCCGCTGACTTGAAGGTTACGAAGGGTGATGACATGACTGCAGGACAGTGCAGTCATAAATACAGGCCAGTTGTCAAGCACTTGAATTTTGATCATGTGACCATGGGGATGCTGCAATGGTCATAAACGTGAAAACCAGTCATAAGTCAGCTTTTTTAGTGCTGTTGTAACTTTGAACAGTCACTAAATAAATGGTTGTAAATCCAGGATTACCTGTACAGATCCATTGGATCAGGAATGGCAACCTGGTGCTTCCAATATTCTAGGCCAGGGGTCTCCAACCTTGGCAACTTTTAAGCCTGGCGGACTTCAACTCCCAGAATTCCCCAGCCAGCTTTGAATTCTGGGAGTTGAAGTCCTCCAGGCTTAAAGTTGCCAAGGTTGGAGACTCCTGTTCTAGGCTTTAGTGATGGTTGATCCCAGCCCTCATGACATATGGCAAGAGAGTTTGAGAATTACAGATAGTCCTCAATCAGTGGTGGGATTCAAATTTTTTTACTACCGGTTCTGTGGGCATGGCTTGGTGGGGGTGGCATGGCTTGGTGGGCGTGGCAGGGGAAGGTTACTGCAAAATCCCCATTCCCTCCCGATCATCTGGGACTTGAGAGGCAGAGAATAGATGGGGGCGGGGCCAGTCAGAATTTTTACTACCGGTTCTCCGAATTACTCAAAATTTCCGCTACCGGTTCTCCAGAACTGGTCAGAACCTGCTGAAACCCACCTCTGTCCTCAATGTACGACCACAATGGAGCCCAAAATTTGTATTTGCTAAGTAAGAAATTCGTTAAATGAATTTTGCCCGCGTTATTCTTACCTTTTATTTGGCCCAGCGCCCAATCTATTGCTGCCTCCCGAGTCCCAGCTGATTGGCTAGAAGGAAAACAACTGTTTAAACTCTTGCCTCGGGGCTTCAAAGGGCCGCCCTACAGCTGATCAGTGTTAAAAGACAGTGTGGTGGTAGAACGGTGCCTCCAAAAAATAAATAGGTAGACCGGTGCCTCCAAAAACAAATAGGTAGACCGGTGCCTCCAAAAACAAATGGGTAGACTGGTACAACTCTGTAAGCAGTTAAAAGCCTGGTAGACCAGTACCTCTGCTAAATCCTAAAGAATTGTCACATGACCATCAAGCCACGCCTACAAAATAAGCCACGCCCACAGAACTGGTAGTAAAAAAAATTTGAACCCACCCCTGAGCTTATTATAATATAAAATACGAATAGAAAGAAGAAAGATAATGCAGGAATGGGGATGGGAAGGGGAGAGGGGGTGCAGGGTAAGAGAGAAAGAGGGGGAAAAGCAATGACTTCCCACTTTTTTTAATAAAACCTTTAGAATTTTTAAGCCAGCCTGGTCTTCAGATTAGGAATTCTGGCAGACGTAACCCCACAACTTTGAAGAATAATAAGCCGGAGGAGGTTAAGAAACTTCTGATCTAAGGCACCTCTGCAGTTTTTAATTTGTGTAGCACCCCAGTTCAAGCATGCATGAAACTAAATTAAATTCTGTTTATAGGGCTGGTTGTCTTGAAGGAGGAGGAGCTGGGTGTAGTTTTGACCAGCATACAAATAGCTCAAATGAATAAGATATTCATCTTCACTGACTCTTAAGGAGCATATTATTTATTTATGTATGTATTTAAATTTAAATGCTTGCAGGGCTCAGCATACAAGAATTAGCTTAGGCTGCCAGGATGAGATGTGGCATTCCTCATCATTTGTGAAGGTGGGCAAAGAGTGGCAAATTCTTGAGCATTTGCAATAACTTTTCTGAATTAAAAAAAATTCCAGTTGCTTCTTTTTTAAAAAACCAACAAACTGAGGTAGATAATTTCTGCTGTCTATGGCAGGGGTGTGAAACTCGATTTCATTGAGGGCCACATCAGGGTTGTATTTGACCTCGGAGGGCTGGGGGGGGCGTGGCCAGGGGGGGCATGGCCAGCTCGACATCACTCGTGTCAGGGGCATCTGTGGTGGTCCGAGCGCTCTGCCAGTAAAAATGGGTTCCCAAGTTCCGTTTTCGGCTGTGACGGCCTCCTGCAACCCTCTGCCAGCAAAAACGGAGCTCGGGAGCTTCGCTGTTTGCAGGGCGGCCCCGTGGGTCACATCTAAGCACCCTGCAGGCCAAATCTGGCCCCCGGGCCTTGAGTTTGACACCCCTAGTCTAAGGGTTGGGATGGCCTGTTTGGAAAAGTCAAGAAGCCGCATAAGCAGAGAAGCTGAATCATAAATGTTTGGGAAGCGAGGATGTCATGTTTTCTTTCCCTGATGTTGTTTGGCGAGCGAAAGGATGAGTTGAAGTGTTTCTTTGTTGATGCTGTTGTGGTGTTTCAATTATGAAGTTTAGTTTAAATTCAGATTACAGTTCTTGCTTGGTGCTTGCCTCCAATGGAAAATACAGTGGTGCTGAAACATACAGCCAAAATCGGAGATAACAAGGCTCCGTGAAACCTGGGCCCTAGGTTCTCCTCCTCTTCCCCTCTAAAAAGATGTAATTACATACCGTATTTTTTGGAGTATAAGACGCACCTTTTTACCCCCAAACAGAGGGTGAAAATCTGGGTGCGTCTTATAGTCTGAATGTAGCCCCACCCTGAGAGGCTGAAGAAAAGCCTCTGAAACCTCCGATTGAGAGGCTGAAAAAAGCCTCTGAAACCCCTGTTTGAGAGCCTGAAAAAAAGCCTCTGAAACCTCCATTTGAGAGGCTGAAAAAAAGGCAAGGCACAGAGCTCACAACCAACAAACCTGTTGCTAAAGTTCACCTCTGGGAACAGCTGATTGGGGGTATTCCAGGAGGCCGATCCACCCCCAATCAACTTTTTTCTTATTTTCCTCCCCAAAAACTAAGGTGCGTCTTATACTCTGGTGCGTCTTATAGTCCTAAAAATACGGTAATTACTGTTTTACCAGTTTGCATCTGGAGAAACAAAAGATAACTGTGCGTTCTTTTTTAAAGAAATGATGCAAATGGGCCTTGTAGGGTTGAGTTTAAGAATGCTTGCCACTCCATTCTATTCTTCCTACACCCTCTTTTAAATGCTCTCCTTTTTATCTAGCCAGCATTCATCAACCCCTAGATATCCTGTGATAAAGCATAGTCTGGATTCTCAGGAGTGAATTCCTCAGGAGAAAGAGACAATGTAGATCAGATAGAGCCGTGGTGGCGCAGTGGTTAGAATGCAGTATTGCAGGTTAATTCTGCCGATTGCCAGCAGTTCGACAGTTTAGTTCTCACCTGCTCAAGGTTGCCACAGCCTTCCATCCTTCCGAGGTCGGTAAAATGAGGACCCAGATTGTTGGGGGCAATAGGCTGACTCTGTAAACTGCTTTGCGAGAGCCGTAAAGCACTGTGAAGCAGTATATAAGTGCTATTGCTATTACTATTGTGTGACAGAAAGAATATGAAGACAGTGCCTCCTTGACAGTTCCCAGAGTATATGCTTTTTGCTGATGGACTCTGTTTTAGTTTGGCAAGATTCTGTCTATAGGCGAATAAAGAAATTTGCTTGGAAGAATCACAACATGTCTTACTTTTGGAGCCTGACCAATCCTCTCTGAATTGCTTTTCTTCTTTCCCCTTCATGCTTATTTAGTGGTGTGTCGATACGTTTACCAACCTTGAAATTCCTTAAGCTGACAGGACTTCTCTCCCCCCACCCCACCCCACACGTGGTTGGTGCTATTGTGGCAGTGTAAGCAATGGTGTGCCAGTGACTCAGTGGCTAAGACCCTGAGCTTGTCGATCAAAAGGTTGGCAGTTCAGCGGTTCGAACCCTTAGTGCCGCATAACGGGATGAACTCCCGTTACTTGTCCCAGCTTCTGCCAACCTAGCAGTTCGAAAACGTAAAAAATGCAAGTAGAAAAATAGGGACCACTTTTGGTGGGAAGGTAACAGCGTTCCATGCACTTTTGGTGTTTAGTCATGCTGGCCACATGACCACGGAGACGTCTCCGGTCAGCACTGGCTCTTCGGCTTTGAAACGGAGATGAGCACCACCCCCTAGAGTAGGGAACGACTAGCACGTATGTGCGAGGGGAACCTTTACCTTTACCTTAAGCAATGACACCCAACTTCCCAACACTGGAAGCAGTACGTTCCTTTTCATCTTCTTACTTTGTTTGAGCACAGGGTGACCTCCTGTAACACTTCTCAATAAAATTCATGACATGAGATATGCTTCTAATAGATATAAAAAGAGGAGGGAACGGCATTTGAATTTTTCAGCTGGATTCCTCCCCACACTGACTTCCTGGAAAATGCTAAGCTTCAGATGCATACCGTGTGCACCAACA